ATTTCGAGAAGGGTTTATATGTACAGTCTTGAGAAGTGTTTGTCCACTCATACTTGGTGGGTGTATTTCTGGGAACCCAAATGGTGCAATTTGAACATGTGACACATTTATATTAGTAATTTCAGAATAGAAAATGTAAAAGCAAACATCTCCTGTTTTGCAGTAGGTGCACAACCACTACACTAAATAAGACATGTAAGTTAAAAATAATTACTAAAAAACACTAAAATGACCCAAAAAACGTTCTAACATTTAATTACATCATGGTACTTGGGCATTAAATGTGCTTGTAGGCATGTTTGGCCTTTGGACAGTCAAATGAGCCTTTCCCCTTGTTTACATTGTTGCTAAGCTCAGCTAACCACTGTGTCGTCATATTTAACTAACAGAGTTTCACAATCTTATCATCTTAGTCTTAGAAGGTGAATTTAATTTTTAAAAGATAATGAAATGTTCTTTAAAATGAAACAACTTTCTCTCACTGTTCGCAGATAGGTAATCTTGGTTTTAAGGACTTTCCTGTTAATGTGTCCCTGTTCTTCCCAACCAAACTGGGACATAACTTTGAAATGACAAACTATCAAGTCATTGTCCAGCAGGTAAGATCACTACTTAACATTACTTTTATTGCCACAGTTTATAGAATTACACAACAATTAATGCATTTAACAACTTTTTAAAGAACAAAACTCAGTGCTCAAGGAAAACTGACAAGGCATCGGAAGTAAGTAACACATATTTTCTATCACAATATTCTAACTGAACATGTTGTCGAATAACAAATCCCATAATACAATAAACTGCTGGTGTGTTACAGTACTGCTCACCAGAAGAACAGTGCAAAGTCATTTTATGTGACAGTTTCATCCTGGAGAAAGAATCACCCACTGAGATTACATTGATAGGAGATGTACAGTTTAGGGATCTCAAACAACATGCAGCGGTACGTTGCAACAACGCACACCAAATATAACTTAATAAGTGGTTAATATACAGTATAATGAAATGACATGCTCTTACTTTGCAGAATATTGCTTTTCTTAAACGATATACTGGAGATGCTGCAGAGGTTAAATTTAAAAGCTTCATAGAGGTTGACTATGACAGCCACCGATATGTGCTCAGTTCTTACAAAAAAGTGGTAAGTTGACATTTGACCACAGTAATGCCGTTTCAAAGGTATGGCTTTTTTTTTTTTTTCAGGACACCCAATTATTAGTTGTAATTAACCACAAATTAAATGTTTTTTTACACAGGAGAAGTCTGACAACGATCCAACACGGAAATGGGTACATTCAGTCTACACGAACAGCCAAAACAATTTGAATGATGAGACATTTAGATTCTCTTTCAAATACACTCAAACCCACTTTGTAAACTCACATTTTCTCTGCCAACAGATGGAAGTTCGAGTTGAGTTTATAATCCCCCCGGATGAACTGCTGATCATTTTAACTGGATGTGGAGTTGGACTCTTGCTTCTGATCATAATCACAGTCATCATGTTTAAGGTGAATTTCCAACATCTATTTTGAAATTCAGAGTTTAAATGTTAGAAACTGAAACAAAAAAATATTTAAATAATGCTTTTCTACTGTAAATTGGGTCTCCCTTGTGTTTGGCCTAATTGGTTCTTCTTATGTTTGTCATAAGTTGGGTTGTTTTAAGAGGAAAACGCTCGAGTATTACCAGGAACAGGAGGAAGAAGCTCTTCCGGCTGCCCCCCTAGCCCCCACCAATGGGACAGTCAGCGAATTAGAGACTGACGACAAATCTGACCAACTGGCACAGGAGAACATGCTTCTCGATGACGGTGAGGCGAGCGGCAGCTCCCCACCCACTGATACAATGGAAGTACTGGAATAATGGTATCTCTACACCCAGCCTTCTAGTAGGAGTAGAAGGCTGTTACCCTCTACTTACATGGTTGATTCCCTGTACAAATAAAGAACTACCAAAAGGTGGTTGGGGTGGACTGTATGGTCAAATGAATACAGGACTTTCACCTACAGTACACAATGTTTTAGTTAAATTGATCACAAAACTAAACCATTAAAAAAACGTTTTTTATTTATTCAACTTTGCGAATTGTAATTGAATGTGGCATAAGCGGTCCTTGGGTTGGTAACCATACAATACAGGACAACAAATTGTAACGATCAAATCAATGTTTGATGTTCTTAAGCCATCGATGCCGTTTATTTGCTCTTTGGGTAAACATGCAGTATTTTGAACAAACCTTTATACAACATATACTATATACCATTTTCTGTGCGTATATATTTAACTTTTTCTATTAGATTGTTTTATAGGTGCAATGTTTAATGCAAAAATGGTCCATTGTGCATTAGAGCTTGAACATATAATATCATTGATTGTCTTCTATTTGCAGTCAAATGTATAATATATGCACATTATCCTCGTACAGTTTTATATTGTCTATGTTGCTTTCTTTAAAGTCTGTTACTGTTGTTGTTGTAATTTTTTTTTTTTTTAATATGATCAACTGATATATATATACATACACATTATGTCAATATATACTTGCTGTACAATGTATTTACATATTTAAAATATGATCAATAAAAAAATAATATTTTAGCATAATTTTATTGTGGGTTTTTGCTGGTTTTAAACAAATAAAGACACAACACATCTTTGTACTTGCTCAAACTTAGAATACAATATATATACCAATTTACAAAAAAAGAACAAAAGTATAACTTACTAAAGTATCCTAAATTCGTGGATTAAATGAAATGAATCCAGCCGCCCCTCTACGGTGGCTGACAGGTGCAAATGCACTACAATGGTCCAGCCCACTTCCATTAGGAGAAACGTGCCATCGCTTCAGAACCAATGTAAATATAAAAACACAAATGTGCCAAAACACATGCAAATTAAGACTTAAAAACAAAATGCTGCAAATAAAAAAAGAGACGCAAATAAAATAAATGCTATAAATTTGCAGCATTTCTTTTTTATTGCAGCCTTTTTTGTAAATGCTGCAAATGTTTCGTGAAGTTGGTGAAGTTGTTTCTTCATTTGCATGTTTTGGCACATTTGTATTTTTTATATATTTGCATTGTTTGTTGCGATGAGAAAAGGCTCAGTCAGGACCCAAATGCACGTCACCAGAACCAGGTCAAGATCAACAAAGGCTGTAAATCAAAGGGTACAAATACAAGGAAAACACAAAACGCTCACTTTGACGATCAAAACAGAAACTTGGGGATAAAAAATGCTAAACAAAAAAAGCTTTTTTGAAGAGTCAAACTATATACAAGGAGTCAATCAAATAACACTAGTCCCTAGCATGGTCGCAAGGGATGGCTGGCAGACTTGAGCCCTTTCTCATTTCAAATGTTCCCCTCCTTGACTCCTATCCTCGATACTTAGTCCCGCCCACAGGAGATGCGAGCAGAGGACTGAGGAGGGGAACCGAGGAGAGAGGCGGGGAAGCAGCAGGCGGTTAGAGAAATGAGAACTCCTCTCCTCTGAGCGGTCATTTTAAAGAGACGTCCATTAATGATGACAGGAGGCACAGCAGCGCTCTGTCTGATGGACAGATGTGTTCATGACCACTTATATATTTACTTAGATTCGGTATAATGAGACAATAACAGGCTACAGATGCGGACACATACACTAGGGCTGTGCATCTTCACTGGTCTCACGATTCGATTACGATTATCCTGTCACCGATTCGATTCAATTCGATATCCCGATGCATCACGATTCATACCAATGCGTTGCATCCTCAATTTTCTATATTACTGCACATGGCTTATTTTTCATCAATGCATACATGCAGTAAATACATATGAACTCTCTTTTTATTATTTAGAAAGTGCTTCAGAAATCAATAACATAAATGTCTTGACATTCATTTATAAACCAAAATAAATGAATTGTATAGGTCTAGCCTCCCTATATCTGTGTGTGAAATTGTTCCATCCTCAAAAACAAAAAAAGAATGCTTCTGCAGTCTAGCTGCAGCTTCTAGCAACGGTCTGCTGTTAAAGAAAGGACACTGAATGTCCTGAATGTGGCATCACACACAGGACTTGAGTCTGAACACAGCAGACAACAGGAGTATTTACAACAGCATATAACAACTAAAATACTGCATGTGGGTGCACACTTACATTCTCAATCAGTGAATAAGTGAATAATAAAGTTTCTATCGGGTCACTATCAGCCTGTCACTCATTATTTTCAGGGGGGGAGGGGTTTGGAGGAACGGAGGAGACGGTGATCGCGGAAGCTTTTTCCTCCTGCCTTCACAAAGTTTACACAAGTATTGTCTGGCATTCATACTCTGCAATCCAAGACTTAACTAAATCCACCAAAACCTGACATGATTGTAACGCGAATATTTTTTTAAAACATATAACCCTGTGTGTCTGAGCCGCAGCGACACGGAGCTAATTTCCTGCCATAACTCCACAAACAAACTAAACAAGTTTTACAAATGCTTTATGATTCACTAACAAACAGAGTGTGGTTTGCAAATACAAAACACCATCTACAAACTAATGCATTTAGTTTTGCAAATAAAAAACGTATCTAACAAACACATTACATTTTTCTAATAAATCATGTTTCAGAGACAAATTCAGCATAGATTTTACAAGTACAACACTTTTTATTATTACCTTAGGCCACCGAAGTTCTCAGACACTTGGAAAGGGCGGAGTTAGTTATTATCTGTAACCTCACTGCTGCTTTAACATAGAGTTGTTTATAATTTGTTATATAAATGTCTGTGTTGTCAACCAATTAACAAATGTTAAAAGTTCTTCATACATTCTACATTGTTTTGCAGAATGTGCCATTCATTTGGCGTAATGCAATACACTACAGAAGGCACATTTTTCATTCATAAAAGTGTATTCATGCAGCACCTCTGGAATATTTTACTTTTGTTTTCTAGGACACAGCGGTCAGTTTATCGGATTCATATTTTGTTTTTGTACACAAGAGAACAAAGACTTAAACATGTTTAAAATATTTTAATGTTCAATTATTACAATTTTGACGGTGCACAACAAATAAGTTAAAGACTGCAACAAAAATGACAAAAGATCAAAAGAAAGGTTGAAATGTTGTAAACAAAGAAATGAATGTCCTCATTACGGACCACAAGGCATGATTAATCATTATTATAAGTGTGGTTTCACATAACAGTATTCCAACAGTAATGTCAGAAACAGTGGAGCCTTAGAAGGTCCTTGGGTGATTTGGGAAACACGTCAACATTGAACCATTCTCTTTGTTGAGAAGATAACCTTCACAGATATTTTCTGTGACATAGCAATCCATCCTGTTGTCTTTTGGATATTTTAGTTGGACTGAAATGGTAAATCGACAAACCGACCAAAGTGCCATCCATCGAGCCGTGCAATTAACACGGCTTTAAATTATACTTCATATTTATGACCAGATTTGACCTCTTCAGTAGCAACCAATAGGCTTTGGGCAGAGATCCACAGATAAGGTGTAACGCTGTGAAATACAGACTGACACATTGTTGGTTTTGGTGTCTTCACGGGATATGACGATAAATCATAAAATATACAGCAACTGTCAACATTTCATATTATGATAAAACAGTAAGTGATCAGAGTAAAAAAAGTGGAATAAAGGGAACCGTTGCATGTGCCATGTGTACAAAAGGATTCCCCATACAGTACTTACATTCAAATGTCTACCTTCTTTTTCCATAACAGTTGCTTCACAAAGACACACCCCTTGACCGTTTTATCCATCTTTTCACTCTCCCTTAAGCAAGAAAAACAATTAGGGATTATTTTTGTATTCTACCCGGATTTAAAAATGTATATGTATGAAGTTATATAAATGTCTTAATCAGGAATAAATGAACAGCATACCTGTTGCTCTGCATCCTGTTGGTACGGGCTCAGGCTAAGAAAGAGATTCTTAAGAACGGAATGTGCAGTGGATGCTACAGCAGATCCTAAAATATGACACCAAGACCACATAATCAATGGCAAATTATAATTTCACAATACAATGTAAAAGCAGTGTCCTTACCTTTGTGGGGTGAGATGTCAGGCAGCTGCTGATGAGCATGGGTTGAATCAGACACAACGCCACGGACAGGAACCAGCTTCTGCTTCGTAGGCTGATCAACAAGAGCCAAGGAACTGTCTTTATTTTCTACTTTAGGATTAGGTGACAAATTGGGTGATCTTGGAACATGAGCGAGTTCTTTGACAGCATTTATAACCTGGTGTGGCAGATGTTTCTCTAATTTAGAAGTGCTTTGTTTGGAGTTCGTTTCATTATTAATTGACTGTTGCGGACCAGAGGAAGTCTTTAAATCCTCTGTCTGAGGCTGCATGCATGGGTTAGGAGCAGCACTGAGGGGGGCAGCAAACAGGCTGAGGAAGGACCTGGCAGAGGCTTTTTCCGTCTCAAGCGCACTTTTAACATGAACACTTGTGCGATCGGCAGACTCTGGGGGGGGAGATTGAGGACAAGAGGATGTTCTTACAGAATCGTCTATGTGCTGCAGAGTGTCAGTGATTGGGCTTGCGAAAAGGCTATGAAAGGGTGTTCTCGGGGTCTTTGTACATCCAACGACCAAATCAGTGTCATGTGTCATTTTACTGCTGCACTCGGCTGTGATTTCAGTTGAACGATGCTCCTGCGTGCCACATTTGAGGCCAGACTGTGTGTTTTTGAAGGGCGGGGGTATCTCAGTGGGTTGTTTGGCTGCAGAATGACGACTGACAGAGTTTGTAGGATCAGTTGTATTAATGGAGCCGGTGACAGGTTGTACTGTAGCAGCAGCAGCTCCACCTTTACATGTGGTGAAGCTTGAAGAGGGAGAAGGCTTTACTGAGGCTTGTGGGTCAACCGTCAGAACAGAGATATGTGGCCTCAACTGCGTAGGCTGTTTGGGAGTAGTCTTATTAGGGGCTCTTGGCAAAATGCTTCTGTGAGTAGTGCTTCCACCTTCACTCTTACAGTTAATGGAGCTTGTCATATCGGCATGCAGGTGCATGCTCCCTCTCACATCTTTGTTTTCGGAGGACTTCTTTGCCACAGTGACAGAAGTATGCAGCAAGCCCAACTTGACTTCATGAGCAGTTCTGGGGTTCAGAGATTCTTGCCGACAGTCACTTTGCTTCGTGTAGTCCCTGTAGGCCGGAGTAAGACTAGGGCAGGTCTTGGAAACCAGGCCAGTGTGCACTTTGAGGCTCTTGAACATTTCAGATTTGTTCACTTCATTTCTTGTATTTTCTGAATACAAGACCTTCTTATTTGGAGTTTCTGAGCTTAGCAGAGGATAAGCGATCTCATCACCTTCGGTTTTTGGGGTGTAGGATACAGTTTGTACAATAGGAAGGGTTGATTTAAAGGACCTGAGAACAGCATTCACAGAGTAAGGAACTTCCTTTGGGTTTGCAGAGCCTGAAGTGCCAAATTCTTCACATCCAGGAGTTGTAAAGAGGCGAGGGAAAGGTTTGAACAATTGAGGTCCAAGAACGGCTTCCACTGAATAACAGACTGGTTCCTCAGGATTAAGATTACTTGACTGGGGGGGTTGATGTTGGGCCTCTTCCGGTGCACGTGGTGGGACAGCTGCCTCATCAGTCAGTGCTTCAGTCGCACATAGCGTGGTTTCCTTCTCGGTATTGGCTTCTGCGCTGTTGTAAAAGACAGGCCTGAAAAGAAAAAACATCAGCATACCAGCAGCTAAATGTTAATTTGATTGATTGATTAGATACATTTCTGTGCAGGAATTACACCGATGTATTAACATAATCTAAATGACATGGTCGAGCTTGTATGTGCATACCTGAGTGGTTGCAGGGGTATATCGGGGGTCTTGTCTGCTTCTATCATTTCTGACTCATCTGTGTTCTCTGGCTGTCGCAAAGACTCCCGTTCAGATTGTTTTGTTAGTTCAATGAGGTCCTTTTCCTTTTGTAATGCCTGTAGTGAGAAGAAACAAAAACACACATCAGTCTTCAGCACAAAGCAATCTCCATATGAAACCATTTAAGAACATTTGCTAACACTTTGTGAGTCCCCTGTCCATAATACACATTAACAATACTTTGAATGCATTTCTTTATAGCACAGTAGTTGAAAGTGCTATATTATAAAATAATTAGGATTGTTTATGAGTGATTTTTACTTTTTTAAGGGGGTTCATAATGAATTACACACCTCATCCAACAGTTTGGTTGTGATGTCATTAAGAGGCTCATGGGAGAACTTGCAGTCTGCTCCTTTAGAACATTGTCCTCTTCTGTGGAAGAACTTGCAGGGGAAGGACTGTGCAGCTTAGTAAAGGAAATGTTAAATATTAAACAAATAGCAGTACAATATATTATATGTTTATGAAAGGTATGTACAGATTATTGCTCAACCAAAGGATATCATGCATGTATGGGCAGCTCTCTCCTTTTTGGCAGAATCCTATAATGTAGAATTTGCACACTTCTTTGACGAGATCATTGTAACCCTTAAAGTGTTCCAGCTGACACGTGTCCTCCTGTGTGCAGTAAAGGGAAGGACATTGCAGTAAATATTATAAGGGCAACCAATAAAGTCGAGAGGAATGAAACGTTTTGCCATCTTCTGCAAGTCATTTTTGTATCTTATCAATCAAAATGTGTATATTTTTGTACAGAGTCAACATAACCTGCCTTGATGCACCTTCCCCAGAGGAAATGTCGACAAACTAAGCGCCCGTTCACCAGCATAGCATTCTGGTCCTTGAACTCCTCAGTCATGAACCTCGGACGTTGCACTTGGACCTCCTGAGAGGAAAGATGAGTGTTGCAACAAGATTATAGTAAATATGTTGCCAAGGGAACATTATTGCCACCCTAACATACTTTAATTATTGTTTTTTATACGTTATTCTATTCTATTATTTGATCTGAGCTTGAATTGCAACATTGCCTTGTGTTGAAATGTACGGTATTAATATACTTGCCTTGCCTTTTAATTGGCATGTTGAGCTTTTGTTAGAAGAAGTTAGTTAATAACTTACATTTGGTGGATTGTTTGTCTAAATTAGAAGTGTCTCACATATGAAGTTGCTTTAGAGGACTTCCATCAGTATACAAATCATTAGAAATGTTAGACCTCTTCCAACAGCACAAGTTTTTGATTTATAAAGAAAGTTTAGTGTTATTATAATGGGACCTGGTTTGTGGGACTTTGCATGCCCTCAGGCTTTTGTGTCACATCTGGTAACCTTTCAATTCAATTAAAATGTGGGCAGTTCGAAAGCCAAAGAAAGGCATTCCTAAATGTCATGCTATTTTTAGGTAAGTCACCAGTCACCTTAAAACTCATTCCTTAAGTGCCAAAAGCATAATGAACCCATGTCCATTTGTTATTTGATGAAGAAAAGTCTTTAAAAATGGAAAATTAGCCCCAAAAAAAACAAAAATCAATTTCCCCTCTTACCTGCAGGGCTATTTATTAATACATTGTTTTGTGTAAATTGCTGAGTGTTGGAGATATCAGCCGAGAGATGTCTTCCTTCTCACATCCATGAGGAGATGCATGCTTCATTTTGCAGAATGATACGTTGGGCAGTTGAGTCTCAAATCTACTACTACAGGTAAGAGGAAAAATATGGATTTTGGGATGTAAGCAGGGGCTGAATGCAATTCAAGCAGCTTCAGATGACAGGCTGGTGATGGATACAATCTATCTTGATGGCCACAGTCAAGCTTACCTGCTTATTGCTTTTATATTTACGGTCTCCTCTACCTCTTCCCCAGGCAGGTCTAGACTGATGGCCCCCACCTCTGTTAGCAGGGGTCCATCTGTCCCTCTGCTGATGCCGATTTATCTGCCTCTCCGAGTTCTGCTGCTGCTGGGTCCCATTATGGTTATTTTTAGTTCTGTATTTCTGACCCTTGGTGATTGTATGTTCACTCTGAGTGTTTTGCATATGGTGGTGCATGGCCTTGACGCCTCCGCCTCTGAAGGATGATGCATTATTGCCTCTAGTTGTCTGGGCTTGGTGAAATTGCTTCTGTGGAAAGAAAATGCCAAAATATTATAAGGGTTAATATTTTAAGATTATTCAAAACTTCAAACTGCTCCGGTTAATGAGCAGCTGTATGATTGTCCAACACTGGGAGGTGTTACTATTATTTAGTTCTGTACACAATGTCAGTAAAGGAACACTGAATAAAGTTGTCTGAATTATTCAACTTTTACATCCATTTTTTACATTTAATTTAGAAACAAATCCCTTATATAAAAGTAAACCTAGATTTAGTTTACGTCGTAATGGGTTTCTTGATATAAACCATAAAAATTAGGAATATTTTGTAACTTTCCAACATAATAGAAAAATACTATTTCTTCATTTTTTATAAATGCAACTCATCTTATTGATTCAATGCAGACATCTTTTGGTTTTACTTTTCACTTAACATTTGCTTGAAAGAAAATAAAATCAACAAACTTCTAAAAATTATTTTGTTCAAGTTCATCTGACCTTTTTATTGGGGCCAGTCTCCTCACTCTGGGGTTTCCTCTTTCTTGCATTGCCTCGTTTTCCATTCTCAGGCTCGTTCCTGCAAAAAACAAAATTAGTTTCTTATCAAGCTCCACATTTGTGGAATCAGCTTCCAGTTTGTGTTCGGGCGGCAGACACCCTATCCGTTTTTAAGAGTGCCCTTAAGACCTTCCTTTTTGATAAAGCTTATAGTTAGGGCTGATTAGATTCAGCCCCTAGTTTTGCTGATATAGGCTTAGTTTGTCGGGGGACATCTTACTTCTTCCTTCTCTCTGTCTATACCTGTGTACTCTCATGTTCCGATTAACCCAGCTTCCCCAAATGTCTTTCTTTTTGGTGTCTGTATACGCCGGGATCCGGAGTCATGGATGATCCTGCGCTCCTGTGTCCTGCATCGCGAGCCCTGGATCTTGAGCCGTGGCTGTGGTCCTGGATCATAGGTCCTGGATGGATATCCTCGTGGATTCATCTTCCTATTATACACACATGCATTTCCAAACATTTGGACTACCTATGTTGCAAATGTATTATCTTTTCAATTTACACACGGCATCTATTGCACGTCTGTCCGTCCTGGGAGAGGGATCCCTCCTCTGTTGCTCTCCCTGAGGTTTCTCCCATTTTCCCTTTAAACTTTGGGTTTTCTTCGGAAGTTTTTCCTTGTACGATGTGAGGGTCTAAGGACAGAGGGTCTAAGGACAGAGGGTCTAAGGACAGAGGGTGTCGTATTGTCATACTGATATTCTGTACACACTGAAGTCCACTGAGACAAATGTAACATTTGTGATATTGGGCTATGTAAATAAACATTGATTGATTGATTGATTGATTGTAATAAGTATGTAGATTTAGGCCATTAAAACCATAGATATATATATAAACACTAGATGACTCACCCGCGCTGCTGGCCAATGGAGACAGACGTTGCCAGATGGCGGCCATCTTGCCACAGACAGCTCGCTCATTCATAACATTGGGTGTTTCTCAATCGCGAGTACGCTTGCTTGGTAGCACATGTCTGCCGAGCATCTTGCTTCAGAAGCTAGGCAAGAATACTTCCTGACATTTGGAAAACGAAGAGTGGAACAGGCGAGCAAGTGTGCAGGTGTGCGTCATATGATAGGCCCCGCCTTACATTTTCCGCCACAGATTTGGGGGTTAATTGGTCCGTGCGCAAATCATTGTGGGGAATTTAAGACCGCGGAGTCTACTCATGCGCAGCCTCGACATTTCTCTAAACCAGGGGTCTCCAACACGTCGATCGCGAGCTACCGGTAGCTCGCAAGCAAATCCAAAATGTAAAAAATACACCAAAAATAAAAGGAAATGTCATTTAAAAGAATCTACCCTAAGCATAAACGAAACCTCAAACATAGCGAACTCTATCTACAACTCTATATCTATCTAACACCCCTCCAAAATGAATATCGACCAATCACGTTCTTGCTTGATTTGCGGGACCAGCGTTGCAGTCTGGAAGAAAAGCAACGTGGAGCGGCAGCTCACCGCTTCATAAGGAGTTTAACCTTTCCTTCTGGCAGAATCTACACAACACATCAGCCCCATTGAACACAGCCTAGTCATGCCAGCCTATACAACACATGAGGGGCAGAGTTTTACTGTGTGTGTGTTGCAACTTGCTTATTTATTGCACTTGACGCACACATACGCATGGCGTAATTTCAACTGGGGACAGTCCCCCCCCACTTTTCGAAATCCTGTTTGTGTCCCCCCACTTTTTTCAAATGTTTATTATTATTTGTTAACGCAAGCCGTCATCGCCACGGAGGAGCACACAGTCTCTGTGTGTGAGAGAGAGAGAGAGAGAGAGAGAGAGTAAGAGAGAGAGAGAGAGAGAGAGAGAGAGAGAGAGAGAGAGAGGAGAGAGAGAGAAGAGAGAGAGAGAGAGAGAGAGAGAGAGAGAGAGAGAGAGAGAGAAGCTTTATCTATTTAATATAGGTGTAACAAATAAAGTAAGAAATCATTCCAATGTGTACTATATTGTATTTAAAAGGGGAGTGATTAGTAAAATATGGATAAATAGAAAGAAAGAATGCTAACTAGGTAACATAAGATAAGAATACACAAGTTTAAATGATTTGTTATTGGTTGTGATCATATTCTAAAGATGTTTGGATTATTGAAAAGTATACAGCTCCCTTTCATATGAGTGTTGAGAGCTGTATCCATAAATTCATTTTGTGCTCAAAGTGCACCAGATTGATGCATTCCACTTCAACATTTTAAAAAAAAAAAAGTGCATGCCCCTGGACCCCCCTAGAGGATGTGAGGACCCCCCCTGGAGGAGGTGAGGACCCCCCCTAGAGGATGTGAGGTCCACCCCCAAATAAAGCTGGTTACATTATAATTAAATTGAATACATTTTCTTTTAGTAAACACTGGAAACGGGTCCCACAGACCCAAACAGCACACAAAGGTTAAAGGTAAGCATTTAATAATGTTAAAATGTGCTAAATATATACACTGCAAAAAACATAAAAAAGAGGAGTAAAAGTAGCTCACGACTTGTTTTATTTTTTGAAAGTAGACCCCTGCTCTAAACGAAGTACGGCGGGCTCGGTAGATTTCCGAGTATACTGGAGATTGGAACAGTACTTTGGCGGCACTCGATGACGTAGTATGCTTGAAATAGCGGCTCTGCAGCAGCTTTACTAAAGATTGAGAGACACCCATTATGTCTATGGTGCACTATTGAAATAACCGTAGATTGCTCAATTTTCAAACGGTGTAGTTTGTTATAAACATCAAAGATGTAGTTATGATACTGCATACTTATAATTATAATCATGAACTTTTTATTTTCAACATGTCTTGTTGTCTCCTGTATCATAGCCATGCTAATAACGTTTATAATAAACCAAACCGTTTGTAAATCAGTCAAGATGTCAGCGAGTTAGAGGTGGGGTAGGTAAGTTTGACTCCCCCTTGAGCCATCTAGTGTTTATATATATATATATATATATATATCTATGATTAAAACCATCTGCGTGCTTAAAAACATATCGAAGCTAAAGGCTAACTATCGTTTCAAATCCAAATACCTGTGAGCAAAGTTTTGCTGAGCAGGGCTCCTGTCATCCTCTTCCACAGCAGAGAGTCTCGAGAACAGGTTTGCGAAAGCCATTTTATTTCGCTCGTCATAGATAGTTGTGTCTTCTTGTGGAAATAGTTAAATGGCAAACATAACCGAGGTTATCACCATCTGGTCGGAGATATGGAAGGAAAAACTAACTTGCGCCCATAAAATAACAAAACAAAACGAAGCTTTGCTAGTCTTTGACATTTGGTGTCCCAAATAACGTTTATGTTCAAGCCTAACGTGTCAAATATATTCAAGTTTAGTGAATGAATTACCACTCATGCCATCACTCAATCGTCCCGTGGAGCATCTTTCACCTCTACTTCCGTGTTTTCTACTGACGTCACGGACTCAGCTCTTCTTCTTCTTCTTCTTCTTCTTTGTATTCGGCAGACTGTACAATGCAATGGTGTATTGCTGCCCTCTATGGCTACTGTTGGTTAATTTATCATTTGTAACGAACCTATTTTTTTCACCATATTTATATTGATCTAATATAGAGTGTGTATATATATATATGTATATATATAACATCAGTTTCTTAATTTTAGTCCAATGATCCGGGTTAAGTAGTTTGCGCAGAGTTGCTTTTGGCTTTTAACAGCTTCCTCCTTTGAAAATGGATGAGGACATTTCTTGCTTCCCAGATTCTACTCACTCACATTAGTCATCAAGGTGATCAAATGTCTTTTTGCACTCCCTCGTCTTTTTTGTTTCCCATTTATTCCGCCACTACAACTTTTCTGAGGGGCCATATGACAGTTTCCTGTGCAGCAGTATATTTTTGGCAAACTTGTTGAAGTTCTCTTATTGAGTGACTGCATGTTTGATGTGTCTAGTTTATTGTACTCTACCCACCGTAGTGACCATGTAATACTCTGAATTCTCAAATCTGATCGAAAATGTGTCATTAGGCAATGGTTAATCCAAATGCACTTTCCCACTCCCTGCATCCTCTGATCCATCTATATTAACCCTTAGATACTGTACTTTATTTATTTTTATGTAATCGTTTATTTGAACCGGGACAGTGCACATCGATGAACACTTTCAATCAAAACAATGCTTACAAGCGTAAATGAGCCGGATTTCCATCCACAGTCCCCTCACATACAACATACAAGAACATGACATTTATATACATAGCAAAAATAAATAAATGATATGCAGGAAGAACATGAGCAGCATACAAGCATTTACCACATGGCAGTACAATGTAGCAGCTATGGTATATAAAGTGCAAGATAAGATAAAAGTGCTACATAAAGTGCAAGAGTAGATACCCCTGTATAAAAGTGCATTTAGCGGTGATTACACGTCTGTTTGTTGCTCAACCATTCTTTGAGTTGACCTTTAAAACTATTGAGAGTGGGACAATCCCGTATCTCAGTTGGGAGCATAGGTTGGGAGGCTATTCCAGAATGAGCTGCCTTTAATGGAGAGGACATTTTGGCCAAAAGTGGTCCGTCTGCGGTGGACTTCACAGTCTCCTCTGGTTTCTGACCTAATGCGGCGTCCAGTGTGTTTTTGTGGATGATTCCCCTAAGGGGGGGGGCAGTCCATGTAAACATTTGTGGTGGTATGAATGTGGCTTTCTGTCAAACACCTTGATAGCTCTCTTGTACAGCTGTTCCATCGGTTTAAGGTTTGTAGCACAAGCAAACGACCAGTTTGTAAAACAGTATTCAATGTGGGATAGAATCATACAGTGGAGGTATGACTCTGCAGCATTGACAGTTAAGAAGGGTCTGATTTGTTTAACATTTTGCAAGTTGAATTTAATGGTATTGGATACTTTCTTAAAAGTCAAGTTCGAGTCCAGTATGACTCCAAGATACTTGAAGTGGGGGACTAGTTCTATTTCTGCTCTGTTTAAAAACACATTGGATCCTTCGATTTTGACTGGTCGTTTACTGAACATCATGCATACTGTTTTTTTTGCATTTAACTGTAAGCAAATGTTGTTCAGCCAGTGTTGAACCTTGTCCAAAGCATTTGAGATACAGGATGAGATTATTTCAGTGTTCTTCCCGTGTTCTTCCCAGGGTTCACAAGGTAGGGGGATTTGGTACTGTTGACCAAAACACACTGTTTTCTGTTTGATAAGATTTAACCCACTGTATTGAATCTGCAGAAAAATTGAAATACGTCAGCTTTGTAAGGAGCACTAAGGAGCATCTCAGAAGCCTTCCTGAAATCAAAGAAGACAGCACCTACATATGGGCTTGTGTCCAACATAGATTTAACCTTTTCCACAAAGACACAGTTAGCTGTCTCAGTGGAGTGGTGAGCACGAAAACCAAACTGCATTGGGTGGAGTGGAGCGAAACCTTTATCTAAATGTTTGGTAATTAGTTTTTGACACCCATTTCTCAGCTACCTTAGAGACACAGGGGAGGATGCTGATTGGTCTGTAGTTGGACATCATTGCCTTATCCCCAGATTTAAAGATCGGTGTCACCGTGGCCACCTTCCAGGATGATGGAACTTCCCTCGTGCTGATAGATTGATTCACTAGCATACTAATTGGTTTTATTAGACCCTCAATATTTGTCTTTATAAAGTTGGTGTCTAAATCATCTGCATCCCTAGCCTTAGAACCTCTTAACCCTAAGATTATATGTTTTTCCTCAACCTCTGTGATTTCCTCCAGGTCAAAAACGGGGTGTATCCACAGTCGGGCTATGGGAGACCTCAGATGGTGAGAAGAGCTTTGTGATGTCCAGAGCACTATTTATAAAATACTCATTGAGAGAGCTGGCCAACACTGCAGGGTCTTTTATCAGGGCATCATTGATTTTTTAGGTTTGTTTACCTAATAGTTTATTTAGGATTTGCCAAACTTTTTTACTGTTACCTTTCGCACCTTCAATCATATTGATGAAGAAGTTAGCTTTGGCTGTCTTATTGTGTTACCTTGTTACGAGCACGAGTGCATTTCTGTCTATCAGTGGATAGTCCGGATTTCAAGCTCTGCTTTAGTAGTTGGTCTCTAGATTTCATTAAATTCCTGCACTGTAGATTTAGCCAGGGAAGATAATGTTCCTTCCTGTCCCTAAGGCACCCTCTCCTTGAGAAGGAAGACATTGCATCATTAATTTTTGATATAAACAGATTACTGTTTTCACCAATATCTTCAGAGGAGAGAGTGTCCCCCCAATTAATCATTTTCACTGCATCCATAAAACGTTGTTGCAGGTTTTTGGGGATGAAGCGTGAACCCAAGGCAGGGGTTTTAGGTGTGGCCATGAACCTTTTTTCTGGCAAAAAGAACAAGATTATGGTCAGAAAGACCAGTCAGGAAGTTGCAGGTTTTAACTATTCTGTCAGCTTTGTTTGTAAATAATACATCTATCATAGTCTTGGAGGTTTTGGTTATTCCAGTCGGTTGATCCATTAGTTGTATTAGGTTGTGTTTATCCGTGATCCGTTTTAAGCTCTTTCTATTTTGTTTGTCATTCCAGTTGATATTTCAATTCAAATTCAATTCAAAACCTTTATTTAGCCAGGTAAAATCCCATTGAGATCAATGATCTCTTTTTCAAGGGAGACCTATATTATATATGAAAGTCTCCTAGAATAATTAGCTCTTTGTTGGAGTCACAGGAATTCAGCATGAGTTTTACCTGATCATAGAAATCCAACTTAGCGGTGGGTTGTCGATACAGGCAAATCATGGGAGGCTGTGGCTCAGTGTGTGCTGGACTTCGAATCAGGCAAGTTCGAGTCCCCCAGCAGTCAGCATGTCGTTGTGTCCCTGAGACACTTCACCCCAAATTGCTCCTGTGGGGATTGTCCACAGTATTGAGTATGTAAGTCGCTTTGGATAAAAGCGTCTAACAAGTGACATCTAATCATGGTGAGGGACATTTCCTCAGATAGTTTGATTTCCACACCAACACAATCAAACTCAATATTAGCTGGGAGAGCAATCTCCCTACAAGTAAAGGTATTCCTCACATAAAGCAACACACCCCCTCCTTTTCCCTTCAGTCTGTCCTTCCTAAACACATTATATCTGACATAGATACAAGAGTGGATGGTGACGACTGTTTTAGCCAAGATTCCGATATTCCTAAACAGTCAATATTGGACTCAAGGAGGAGATGTTCTAGCTGTTCATGTTTATTGCAGATGATCCATCTATATTAACCCTTAGATACTGTACGACCCGCATTTCCATGAAATGGGGTTGGTTTCACTTTCATGACTTCATCAACTAATTTATTTTCTCTTTGTATTAAGTAGGCAAGGGTCAATTTAAGGTTCTGGGATTAGCCTTGATGGCACAATTTGCAAACAGTCTGGGAGGCACAATGTACATAAACTACAGATTGTAGTTTATTTTCAAAGTTTGAATTGGTATTTCTCGCTCATCCCAGAGTTTCCCAATGCTATAGCTGTCACGATCTGTCTTTATGGTGTTTTGTCTTGTCTTGTTTCATGTTTTATATTGAAAGGTCTTCACTTCCTGTCTTGCCTGTTTCTGTCTGCATTGTGTCTTGTTTAAATCTGTCTGTGGTTCCCGGTCGTTAGTTTCCCTGGTGTGTATAATTTACCCGATTGTGTTCACCTGGTGTCCCTGTGTTTTCTCCTCCCTCCTCACCTGTGTCTTGTTTCTGTGATTAGTCTTGTGTGTATTTAAGTTCTGGTTTTTCTGTCTGTCTTTGTCGGTTCGTCTTTTGTCATGACTAGTTCGTCGGTGAGTGTTCTGTTTTGTCTTTGTTATCACCTAGCCTTGAAATAAAGGAACTTTCACTTTAATCTGCATTTGGGTCCTACCTGCTTCACACACCGGGACAGAACGAACCGACCACAAAATGGACCCAGCAGATGATCCATGGGAGGTTGAATTACAGCATTTAACCTTCTATCTGGCTTGCTGCTTCGATTGGTGGAAGGGAGCGTCCAGTGTTCGGCAGAAGAGGGCCGCTCTGGTAGAGGCGCTCCGGTTGGCAGCAGAGAAACCATGTTTTGTTGAGTTTTTACCTGACTGGATTTTGGACTTCCTTCAAGCATGTGATTCCAGGCATGCTAGCTCCCTGTCTCCCAATTCCCAACCTGGCACCATACGCCTTGGTGGGTTCCGCCTGAAGTCAACCCGTGCTTCTGCCCCAGTTCCTGCTCCTGTCCAGAAGTCGTATTCCGGAACTCGTCAGGCTTATGGAGGTCCACGGAGTATTCAGGAGGCTGCTAAGAGGAGTCGTCGCAAGGCCAGGCTAGCAGCCCGAGCCCCAGCAGCCATGGTTCCGGCTCCAGTACAGGCCCCAACAGCCATGGTTCCGCTCCAGTGCCGGACCCAGCAGCCATGGTTCC